TGGGTGAGGGAATGGGGGAAGTGGGGGGAAGTGGAGAGGGAGTGGATGAGGGAGTGGGGGGAAGGGGAGGGAGTGGGAGAGGGGTAAGTGGGGAGTGCAGGGGGGAGTGGGTGAGGGCGGGGAGTGGGGGAGGGAGTGCGAGGCACTCGGGGCTGGGAGCTTTTATATCCCTATGTGTTGGGTGTTGTCTTAGCAAGAGGCTTCTCAGTGTTCCTCTTTCCTTGTTGGTGTTTGGAGCCGGCTCTTGGGAACCTCTCATCAGGGCTGGTTTATTTTCCCGGGAGAGGCTCCCCCGTCATAAAAACCCTGGCTGCGCTGGGTCTGGGCTGGCAGGTCCTGACTGGGCCTTCTTAGTGGGTAGGGAGGATCACGCTCCGGAGTTTGAACACTTGGGTGCCGGGCTCTCATCTTGGGGGACACAGTGACAGGGTGACTTGGACTCTGAGCTCACGGAATGGCTCATGCTTGAGCCCCGCTGTGGGGCCTGGAGCCCTTTCCATTTGTGTTTGTCACCAGGTCTCTGCAGGTGAAGGGAGGGTGGTGATTCCAGGCCCGGCTCTGCCCGTGACTGCGGCCCACTGTTCCCGCCTCAGGCTGCGCCCTGGATGTCTGTGTGCTGCCTGGGGTGCCAGCAGCCCACGCGATTTTTCTGCCAGTTGAGACACGTGGGCTCCAGGTCGTGGGATTGTGTTTGTGGGCAGGGGACCAGGTGGGCTGGCATCCGGCTCCGCAGCGGCCGCCACACGGAGGTGTGAGTCCCTTCCAGCCATACCTACTCACAGCGCCTGTGGTGCGGGCCCAGCAGGGGCTCAGCCAGGTGTGTGGCCGCACTGCACGTCGCAGGCTGGGGGCTCTGGAGGCCTCGTGGGCTTGGCTTTAGCCTCTGCTGCCCGCCGAGGAGGTGGTTGGCGCTGCTTCTGCATCTTCTTCTGCCACGTTGTGCGTGAGCACAGACCCTCATGCCCAGTGCACCTTTCCTGGGGGCCAAGCCGAGGCGTCTGTCCATGGGCCCGTGGACAACCCCTGGGCTGCTCATTGGTGGTCAGAAGACAGTGACTGATGCTCTGCCAGAAATGAAAGTTGTGGTGTCCACTCAAGGAGGCAGTGGGCAGGCACCACTGCACTCAGGCTGCCCAGGCCCTGGGCTAGCAGGACAGAGACAGCCACCTGTGGGCAGGCAGGGAGCGAGGAGACTGCACTGCAGCAGGCAGCAGGCAGCAGGTGCCTGTGGGGCACACAGGGGCAGCTGGAACACCACAGCCACTGGAGGGTGGGAGCCCGAGGCAGGGAGGCCCTGCAAGGAGGCGAGGCAGTCAGGTCCTTGAAGACTGAGAACACCTTCCTCTGCCAGGGATTGAAGGGGCTAGACCTGACCCATTAGAAGGCTGGGGCTCTATTTCGCGATTGCTAATTCATTATTACTGTTGTCTGAAAGACGTTTTAAACCAGAATACCCGGAAATTGTGCAAGTTACGTCGATCATACAATGCTTCACATACATTTGCAGAGTTTCTTGTGGTTGCTTTAATAAATCATCGCTAACTTGATGGTTTAAAAAACAGAAATGTATTCTGTTATTCTGGAGGCCAGATGCCTGGGAGCAGTGTTACTGAGAGAGAGCGAGGAGTCCGCAGAGCTGTGCTCCCCCCCAGAGGCTCAGGGAGGCCCCTTTGTTCCTCTTCCAGCTTTTGCTCAGTGGGGTGGATGGTGGCCTCTGCCCGCATCGCTTCAGTCTCCGCCCCTGTGCTCACACGGACACCACCTCTCCCGGGTGGTTTCTCTGCCTCCCTCTCATAGGAACATGTGTGACGGCACTAGGGTCTCCTGGCTAAGGCAGGATCATCTCATATCTCAGGGCTCTGAACTTGGCTCAGAGATAGAAGACAGGGAACATGGATCTCACAGAAGGACAACAGGGCAGGAGATGCTGGAGGCTGGAAGGACAGGGCAGGGAGGATAGGGAGAGACTTGTTGAAGGACACGGAATTGCAGCTGGTCAGGAGGGACACGTTCTAGTGTTCTATAGCAGGGGGTCCCAACCCTGGTACCGGGGACCACTACGGCCATGGCCTGTTGGGAATTGGGCTGCACAGCTGGAGGCGAATGGCAGGTGGGTGAGCATTACCGCCTGAGCTCCGCCTCCTGCCAGATCGGTGGCAGCACTGGATTCTCAGAGGAGCATGAACCCTGCTGTGAACTGTGCGTGTGACGGGTCTATGTCGCTCCTTATGAGAATCTAGTGTCTGATGATCTGCCACTGTCTCCCCTCACCCCCTGATGGGACCATCTAGTTGTAGGAAAACAGGCTCAGGCTCCCACTGATTCCACATGGTGGTGAGTTGTATAATTATTTCATTATATATTACAATGTGATAATGGAAAAAAGTGCACAATAAATGTAATGCACTTGAATCATCCCCAAACCATCCCCTCCCCGGTCTATGGAAAAGTCGTCTTCCGCAAAACTGGTCCCTGGTGCCATAAAGGTTGGGGACCGCTCTTCTAGATAGCACTGTAGGATGACTGTAAATCAGCAAGAATATATGGTTTCACGTCGCTGGAAGGAAGGTATCGAATGTTCCCCACAGAAACAGTCCATGTTTGAGGTGATGGGAGCTCTGGGCCCCCCGACCTGACCACTCCACGCTGTCCCTATGGAAGCATCACTGGGAACCGTATGGATATGTACAACGATGATGTGTCCATTTAAAAAATGTTCAAGGATCTTAATCAGCAACCTGTAGTCAATCTGCAAAGTGCTTTTTCTCACTATAAGGGCAGATTCACAGCTTCTAGGGATGAGGCTGGGGACATCGTCTGGGGGAGCATCATTTTGCCACCACACCCTCTTTCCCAGTGTTCTGTTGGTTTCTGCCTCTGTCCACCTCTCACCCCTCACTTGGCTTGTGTGACCTTGGACGATCACCCTGTGGGCTGCGGTTTCCTCTTCTGCAAGATGGGGTCATGGTCCGCCCACCCCACAGGGCCACGTGAGGATTATGTGGTTCAAAACAGGTCATGAAGGCTTCCTGAAGGTCAGCCACTGTTTTTATTGTCCATGAGGCAGTATTGAGCTGAACAGTGACGCCTGAATTTCCTCTCAAGTCTGGAAAGCCTGGGATGCCCTGAGGTGGAAGGTTTCACTGCTGTAGGTGGGTTTGACCAGACACTGCTGCGGGGGCTGAGGCTTCAGGGCCCCCGGGAGTTCCTTAACCATGAAGTTCCCACTGCCCAGCCCCAAGGCGGGTTCAAACCACTGACTTCATGGATATCGTGTAGTTCTAACAAAATAGAAAGCCTCATGCGGCACCCCCGGGGCTTCCAGGCCCTGCTCACTGTGTGCTGTTTGGTTGGGAAGGCGGGGTTCTGGGAAGTCCCTGCTCCCTCGGCCCTTCTTGTGTGGACTGGCCTCCTCTCTCTGGTCCTTCAACACTGAGGGACTGCAGGGATGGGCTGAGGGACTGCACGGGGGGGCGGCAGAGGAGGGGCCCCAGAAAGCACAGCGGAATGGCTCTCCCTGCCAAACACACGTGGCACCCAGCATGGCCCCCAGCCTTTCTGCCGCCGGCTCTTTGCTTCCCGCTCTCTAGCCGTCCGTCATGGTGGTGGAACCCTGGACTGAAAGGCACAGTGTCTTCTAAAGTCACCAACTTCTTCCTGTCTTTCTCCAAAATCAGCATCTTCTCCTGGACAAAGAACATGCTTTCTTCCAAAAATAAATTCTGTAGAGGAATCTCAGTTGTCACGGGGCGCTCTCAAAGCATGGGCGTCTCCTAGGATGCTCTCACCTGTGGACATGGCTGTTGACAGCCCTGCTGGCCCAGAGCTGTTGAGCAAATCAGGGGCCAAAGTCACCCTAAGCTAAAGAAATGGTGGTGGGGAGAAGCAGGGCAGACCCTGAAGATATCTGGCAGCTCAGCGAAGATGGCAGGGTAGGGGATGGGGTGGAGTCCAGCTGCCCCAGCCGGTCAGGGGAGAGGGCAGTTTGGAGGAAGATGCTAGCTCAGCTTCACATGTGCCCAGGTGCAGCTTCCCTTCGGTCCTGGGGCACATCTGGAGGCCGCCGTAATCGTGGCTGGGAGCCCAGGGGAGGCACCTGGATGGAGGCCTGGAGGTTGGGGGAAGGGAGAGAACACACATAGAGGAAAGTCAGAGGAATGGGAGCAGGAGCTGAGACAGACGCAGCCCGGAAGCCCAGGGA